ACTTTATGTAAAATTTTCCTTTTTACCTCTATTTTTCTATTTTGTATAAAAGGAGATTACTGGATTAAATAAACATTCAGTTCGGGTAAACCCGGGGCGTTGCCCGGGTAGCTCGGCTAGTAGATTAAATTGGCGAAACCGCTGGAAGGATTACCAATGATGAGCCAAGCCCTCCCAATAGTTTTTCATCGCAGTAAGGGTAGTAGAATTTATAATTATTTGTGAAAGAAACACTCGCGTCTTATAATGTTTTCATTTGTTATATATAGATGGCGCGTTATTTTTTGTTAAACTACTGTATCAAACCATTTTCCAACTTCAGCATGGGCCTATTGAAAAACGGCGACACTGCATGAAGTGGTTTTCATTAAATTAGGGAACACATCTTACGAAATATTTAAAACCTTGGCCCAGACTTATTCTCTTTTACATTCGAGTATATTTGTATTATTTAAACGATCCATATAAAACTGGTTGAACAAAGATGATCTACACACTGGCAGACCTTTGCCGATTAGAAACGCCAAAAATGCGCTTAAAATCAAGTCATCAATAGAATAAAATAAAAAAATTAGATAGTTATCAGAAGACTTTGATAGTTTTTTTTTTTGTAACATGTCAAACCATGGTAAAGTATAATCTGAATCTTAACCGATCCTCAGCGCGCGAGTAAATGTACAAAGATATGGCCGAAATGTACACTCATGGACAAAACTTGGAGAAGTTGTACCTTTTAACATGTATATCGGGATTCAGACAATAATTCTGAAAGATATTACAATGACCTTTATTGAAGACACACGAAATAACCAAGTGTGAACACATGGCCTCTGTCTCCTTTAAAAAAAAGACGACTGCCAACATTTAAAAAAACTTTCCATTTCCTTTAGTCTAAGAGTGTAAAATTATCATACAGATTGACTAAAAATTGCATCACGGAATATAAGACATGGCTGTATGGGTATGACATTGAGACTAAATGACAATTAAACCAATGGCTAGAGTCTGGAGAACCAAGATTCAAGAATGTAAGTGATCAAATTGAAACTTAAGTGTCTTTTTTAAATTACTTTCTTTGTTGTAAAGGATTGCTACACTATGAATTCGTGGCTGTTGGTCAGTACATTAATCAACATTGTCAGCATGATATATTGAGACATTTGGGGAAGGTTGTGTGTCGGAAAAAGCCCGAAAAATTACATCATAAAAATTGTCTCCTGCCTCATGACAATGCATTGTCACATTCTGGCGCCTCTGTACAACTCTATTGGGCTAAATTCGGAATTTCTTTACTAACCCAGCCACCCTGTTCTCCTGATTTTGTCCCAACGGATTTTACTTTTACCCTAAAATTAAAAAGGTTTTTAAAATATGTCTATTTGACTCATTAACTGAAAGAAAGGAGAATACGAAGACTATTTCGAGAAAATAAAAAGATTTGAAAGGTATTTGGATATATTTTGAATTAAAACAATTTCTACTGCCCTTACACTGTTTTAATTTTTTTTAAAACGCGTCAAAAATAGTTAACATTTCTTATAACAGATCGCGCGCTAATACATCACGTTAATTTTAATGTCTTTGAAAAAAAAATATGAAAAATGTTTATAAGATATAGTAAGGGCTATTATTTTGATTATTATTATATATAATTATTATTATACTTTTTGTAAATCTTTAAATATTCAGCGTTCATGGAAATTATTGATAACGCTATGTACATAGATGCTCACGTTCCTAGTAAAATGTTTCTTCAATAATTTACTTTTAATTTATTTATTTCGTCTCAGTTTACAGGTGTTACATACCAACACAGCTTGCCTACTCGTGGCTATTTACACATTGCGAGTTGGTGGAGTAGAGGTGACCTTGCAGGAGGACAGCTGTTGGGTGATTAGCTCCTAATTAAGCGTCAGGTCGTCGAAATCGTGGATTGATGAATTTTGCAGTTGAAGGTATAATTTCTTTACATAAATTTGCTACATATCTTCTAGATCGGATTAGTTTAAGTTTTCATTCAGTATCCCAATAGATTTCTAGTCTATCGCCTTAACCACTCGGCCACGACTGCTTGAATAATTTACTTTCAGAATCGCAATATTTATACGAACGAGATATTTCGTCACAAAAGACTTATCATCTTAAATGTATATAGAACAAATAACTATTGAGCACCAAATTTCCTTGCGCGTTATTTTCTTATAAAAAGAGTTATCTACTTTGGAAAAAGCCATTTTTTAATATGTATGGACTCAATAATATGATTTTTGCATATCTAACGTTTTTTACAGTTGTTATTTTTATATTAAACTAGCCGAATGACCCGGGCAACGCCCGTGTTTTACCCGACTGTAGATGTTACAACGGTGATCCTTAGGTCGCTGGTTCAAATCCGGCTCGAGGGAGCCGGCGAGCACGTGACCTCTCTGTGCGCGCGCATCCGTGACAGAGGCGGCCGGCCGATGAGGAAAGACGGTCGTGACTATATATATATTCATACTAGCCGAATAACCCGGGCAACGCCCGGGTTTTACCCGATTAAATGCTTTTATTCAAATACTATTCGTTACAATTATAAATTGGCGCCGTGGATTTCATTCTTGAATTCTCTAGACGAATGACCCGGCTTCGCCCGAGAATTACCCCGAGTGCAATTTCCTTCATACTGAAAGTAAAGCAATAATAAATAGTAGAAGTGCCATAGAATAGCAACACAGAAGTAACACATAAACCACAGGCAAAAAGTGTGTGTGATGGCAAAAATTGTATTATATTAGTGTTTAGGTATTTGATTTAATTATTTTTTGCAATGCATTTAGTTGTTTTAAAATCAATATAGTTTAAATAGACGGCAGCTTTTCCACACAACCCCCGAGGTACCCGCCCCAGCGCACTAACCCTTGAAATTGCCTGAGTTGAGTGAGTGACTACGATGGATCTTGACTACGATGCCCATCTTCTCAGTAAAAACAAGAAAAAATAGGTTTATAAAAAAAATTAATCCAAAATACTGGCATGTAAATATTATTCTGTAAAAAATAAAGAGCACGTGGAAATTAGGCAGACATATGTGTTTGCTAGTGACTGCGACTGCATTTTAAACGATTTTAAAAAAAGAGAGATAAAAAAATAAATAATAAGAAAGTGATTATTTACATACAGTAACGCTAAATTTGTAAAGTTTTTTTTTTTTTGCATTGTGTGTACTTACCGTAACTTGACACGTGACTTAACGTTACAGAACTGATGACTCTGATACTTGTATATATGACTAGCCGAATGACCCGGGCAACGCCCGGGTTTTACCCGATTAAATGTTTTTATTCAAATACTATTCGTTACAATTATAAATTGGCGCCGTGGATGTCATTCTTGTATAATATATAAATGAGTTTTGAAAATTGTAAAAAAAAAAAAAATGCATCGGCCGGGAATCGAACCCCGCGCCCGGCAGGCGAGCATTCTACCACTGAACCACCGATGGTTATGAGAAATGGCCATATTTGGGTATTTATTCCATTCACAAAGCAAACGGTGACAGAATTGATTATGACGCTGATAACTGTATACAGGGTGTACCAGGTAAATTGGGACTCACTTTGACAGTCCATAAAACAAAAACTACTTGAGATTAAAAACTTGTTTTTTTTTTCATTACGTAGCCATATTCATGTAAAATGCAACAGTACATGTGTGCGCAGTGTAGTGATGAAGAGTAACCGAGAATTTGAAAATCGAGCTGCCATCATCGTTGCTCTGCGCGCCGCAAGGAGCCCCAAAGAGATAGTGGATTTTCTTAAGTTGCCCAAAACCACTATTTATCGTGTCAAGAAGCAGTTTGATGAGTCCGACAGTAACAAAGAGGGGATAGCTACAAGGAAAAAGCACTCGCGTCGATCGGACAGGGTAAGAGGCGAAGAATTTGTCAAAAATGTCAAGGAGAAGATTGATGGAAACCCTGGGAAGAGCATGAGGGCCATAGCCAAGGAAATGGACGTTGGCTCTATGAAAATTGTCAGAACTATCCATGAGGACCTTGGTCTCAAGTCTTATGCCCTTCGGAAAGGTCAGTTGCTAACTGAGAATATGAAGAATAACAGAAAAGGAAAGGCTGCTGCCCTCCTCAACAACCTGAAACACGACTCTTTTGGCATGCTAAGGTTCTTCTCTGACGAAAAGAACTTTGACGTGGACCAAAAGGTAAATCCCAGGAATGATCGCTGGATCTGTAAAGACCCCTCAGAGATACCTGTCGTGATGCACACGAAATTTCCTGCCTCCGTAATGGTCCTTGGCGTTATCAGCAGTGAAGGTGATGTCATGCCTCCCCATTTCTTTGAGAAGGGCCTTAGGATGAACGCTGACACCTACATCAATGTTCTGGAGACCGTTGTGAAGCCTTGTATGGACATGGTGGCCGCAGGAAGGAAGTATGTCTTCCAACAGGACTCAGCTCCAGCCCATAAGGCAAAAAAGACACAATCGTGGCTGACACTTAACGTCCCTAGTCACTGGGGTCCTGATATTTGGCCCCCTAATTCTCCAGATTGCAATCCCCTCGACTACTATGTATGGGGCGTTGTTGAGAGAGATGTCAACAAAGCTCCTCATACCACCATCCAGTCTGTCAAGAAAGCAGTTCACACGGTGATGACCCAAATGGACAAGGTCATCGTCGCCAAGGCCTGTGCTTCATTCCGCACTCGCCTCGAGACTGTTGTAGCTAATAATGGAAACTACATTGAATAAATAAAAACTATATCCTTTTATCTACTACTGTGTCAAATTTCATTCGGATATTTTAATTTTTACTTGCAAAAAATTTCAGTTAAAATACCATTGTTGAAATTCCCAATTTACCTTGTACACCCTGTATATTAATTATGTTAACATAATGAATTAGTCAGTATTCCCATTGTCTCCAGCGAAGAGGTGTGAATTGACTTTTTGAAAATATACAATTATAAAGAGAGAAGCTTCTATAGAAATAACTAAAATAAGCCGAAATAGCTCAGTTGGAAGAGCGTTAGACTGAAGATCTGAAGGTCCCTGGTTTGATCCTGGGTCCGGCATCTTTTTTTTTTACATTTTAATTTTTTAAAACGATGACAGAATTTATGACTCTGATACTTGTATATATGATTTTTTTCATTTTTACTTACCGTAACTTGACACGTGACTTAACGTGACAGAATTGTGCATGACTCTGATAACTGTATATATTAATAAGAGCCCCATGTAAGCGGAAGCAATCAAATCAAGAAAAATTACCTTATAGCTTTAAATTGACAACAGAAAAAAACGAAGTAATACTTGTATTTCACAATCCTGGCTAAAAGAAAAATTAATGTGACAAATCTATTGATTCTATTTAGAGATATTTCACTCTAAATATAAGTTGTAAGCAAAATACTTCCTTTTGTTTCAATATATGGCGAAAGGTCCGTTTGAACTAGATTTAATACTTCCTCAGTAAGTATTCTGGGACTATATCACATCCCCCTAGATTCGTACCAGACTCTCAGGGAAATTATCAAATGTACACAGTTATTGTAAAACACTATAAGAATAATAAATACATTTTAAAATAAAATGTAAATCAAGGGCAAGGAACATAGCCCTGATCAAGAAAGACAAATGAAAAACGCAAACTTGTTGCATATAAAACAAAAAAAAGATCATTTAATTTACCACAAAATCAGCTGTTCACAAATTTCGCTATATTCATATACCTTTATAAAATGATTAAAATATAAATATCTTTTCTGTGAAAAATCAACATTTATTTCAAGGAGAAATATTTACTATTTCTAACCTTTTTGGATGAAGTATGAAAGGGTGAAATATGAAGAGTAATGACGAACGGAAAAATAAAAGTGTCCAGGGATGGGAATCGAACCCACAGTGTTCCGCCCACCGGGCAGATGCCATGTCCACTAGGCTACCCTGGACTTATTTTTCCGTTCGTAAATAATACTTAAAGTAACATATAATACATTATAATGCACTGCGGCCTATGATTATAAACGACACTTGAAGTTTCACCGCATGAGTTTCTTTTCTGTGAAAAATCAATATTTATTTCAAGGAGAAATATTTACTATTTCTAACCTTTTTAGATGAAGTATGAAAGGGTGAAATATGAAGAGTAATGACGAACGGAAAAATAAAAGTGTCCAGGGATGGGAATCGAACCCACGTACTTCATCCAAAAAGGTTAGAAATAGTAAATATTTCTCCTTGAAATAAATGTTGATTTTTCACAGAAAAGAAACTCATGCGGTGAAACTTCAAGTGTCGTTTATAATCATAGGCCGCAGTGCATTATAATGTATTATAAGTTACTTTAAGTATTATTTACGAACGGAAAAATACGTCCAGGGTAGCCTAGTGTACATGGCATCTGCCTGGTGGGCGGAACATTGTGGGTTCGATTCCCATCCCTGGACACTTTTATTTTTCCGTTCTTCATTACTCTTCATATTTCACCCTTTCATACTTCATCCAAAAAGGTTAGAAATAGTAAATATTTCTCCTTGAAATAAATGTTGATTTTTCACAGAAAAGAAACTCATGTGGTGAAACTTCAAGTGTCGTTTATAATCATAGGCCGCAGTGCATTATAATGTATTATAAATTACTTTAAGTATTATTTACGAACGGAAAAATACGTCCAGGGTAGCCTAGTGGACATGGCATCTGCTCGGTGGGCGGAACATTGTGGGTTCGATTCCCATCCCTGGACACTTTTATTTTTCCGTTCGTCATTACTCTTCATATTTCACCCTTTCATACTTCATCCAAAAAGGTTAGAAATAGTAAATATTTCTCCTTGAAATAAATGTTGATTTTTCACAGAAAAGAAACTCATGCGGTGAAACTTCAAGTGTCGTTTATAATCATAGGCCGCAGTGCATTATAATATATAAATCTCTGTTACCAAGATTCCTATGAGTTCTTGAAATCCAAAAGGACAATTTGGCATTTGAATATGTTCTGATAATTTGATTTTGAATTGTGAACAAATTTGATACACGCAAAGAAAATCAATAATTACTATTAATACAGATCTAATTCTCATTTTTTAAAACTTATCACATTTATAACCAAACCATGTTTAAAGCCAAGTTCTTAAAGTCCCTGATTTGGTTATTTGGAGGTCTCGCATTAGCTTCTGTATCCACCACCCTAACCTGAACCTAACCTCGTTATGGTTTGTGCGCTATATTAAGAATAGTAAATATGGGAGCCTATCTCTAGCCTTCCCCAATTTTAATCAGATTGTATTTAAGGCCCAAAGGTTTTTTTATTAAAACCATATCGACACCAGAAAGATGGAGGAATTTGACAACAACTAATGAATGACATTTAAATTGCTAGTGACATTGGTTGATGAAGGCAATCAAATATTCTGGATTAAAAACAATGATCCTGAAGGTCAGCCGTAATTCATGAAACGATTATGAAGTTATGTTTTCTTGTGAAATAAACCTTTAGCAATGCATTTCTCATTGGAATACAAAGTAGGATATATTATCAAATGAACCATTACATATCAAATAAATATCTATATTTCAAATCAGTTAGTTTTAATTCTGGCATATTTTTATATGGAGACAGAATAGATAACTCAATAAATATTTGAACATTTAAAAAAAAATGAGTTGATAATAGATCATTTTTGATATTCAAAATTTTCAAAATTAAAAGGTTTCATAACAAATACCTATTAGTATTTCCGCCACCTTCTCATATAAATACTGAAGATCATTTTTAAACGATTATTTTTATATTATTCAAATATGTTTTCCATCATGATCAAATATGATTCGGAAATCATTTTTGATAACGATTCAAATTAATTTTATATTTTATAAAAGTATTATAATTTTATAAAAGTATTATAATTTTATAAAGTATATTAAAAACATGATTTATAATATTATGATATTAACTATTATTTGAAATATATATATTAAAAATTTCGGGACGTTTTATGAAAAATCTGGTTTCCAGCGGTCCAACAATGGGTCGTTAGTCAGTTGGGAAGTGAGGTAGAAGGCGGGTCTGCTCTGAGACTGTCCGAATTTATGTGTTTCCTCAGACATTGAGGCTTTGCTTTCCCCTCCCCTGACTCTTTGAGACGGAGTCCATAGCATCGGCAGACCAGTTCCTGGCAGGGCTTGGATCATCAGCTCGGTCGAGTCATCGAGCGAGTTGGATGCTCTGGTTGTGCCAGAAGAGTGGAATAGGGCTTCTACGGGAGGCGAAGCGCCACTATAAAAAAAGGCTAACGCGCTGAGCAGGTACCTCCTGGGTGACGTGGAAACCCTTTGCGAAAATAATCATGACCTGGTCTGGATATGCATGGACTTCTTGAGATGAAAAAAAAAAAGTTCAATAAAACATTCTTGTTAAATATTATAAAAACTTAAAACAATCATGTATTTAGATACAAAGATACACTTTGGACAAAGAGTTGATATTTTAGATTATTTGATCTCAAATACTGTCAAAATAGACACAAAAATTATTAACAGACTGCATTCTAGCAGACTGAAGTCGGTGACAAAATATTTTACCCATAGAATTCACTAATCTCTTTCCGGCTAAACATCCCTTTGGTAAATTCTGAAATTTGACCCCTTTGTGAATCTCGTGAAATCATAACCTGCTCTGAAAAAACGGGAGCAAAATTCTGCTGACATGGTCTTCAGGTGGACGTTCTGAATTTTCCGAGACAGATGTTGTGGCTAGGTCACTGGCCCGAGTTAACTAGATTGCAGAGGATATCATCTAAAGATCGCGTATATTTTTAATGTCTATTTTGAGAGAAGTGTCGTTTTTCAGAACAATTCCTTCCAGCAAAATTGCCACATATAAACTTATATTATTCAAATCGCGAAAACAAAATTATAACAAATCTATATATGCACAAATAAAACTCGATAAATTCCTTGGACAACAGAACCGGCTGTAAAGTCTACGAAATTATAATATAAAGGAACTCACTTTCTACGTTAAAGTTTCCTTCTTTAAATTACTTTTAAAATTACCAAGTTTCGAGTAATACTAATTTCACTTAGATTGGAATGTACCCCTCACCATGAATTATAGATCTTTAAATTATATACTTCTGATAAAAGCACACACACAGTTCACATGATAAGGCTTGGAGCATACATTGCTTAACTATTTCTATTTTTAATTATCCGAGATATTTAAAATTAGTATTTTTATCTAATATTCCTATATATTATTGTATTATTGAATGATATTTTATCTGCTATCAATTATATACAACCTGTGGGAGCAGGTCAAATTTCCTATTGACTCTATTATGTTGGGATATAACATGGAGCATTCCAAATTTGGTCTTCCATATTCCTATAATGTTCTTCGATATTTTCTACATAAAAGTCCAACCTAACAGCGAGTGCAAGTCATAAAACGGGGCTCTGGCACATTTGTAAGTGAAAACTGCTTTTCACATGTGTAACAAGTGGTGCACTTACAGTAAAAGCAGTCGTCAACTTCTACCCACCATGATTATCACATGGCCTGTACCACGTGTACTAAGGATAATTAAAATATATATATATTCTCCATATTAAAAACTCGACCTCTGTTTCTGTGATCTTTTGATCGTGCAGCTAAAGCTTACTGAACTACTTTAGTTGCCCGATTAGGAGATGTCTTTTTTTCTTCTTAATTTATCCACCTGATCCTAGTACAATTCCACTTTTATACTATTTTCAAACTATTTTTGCTAATTTTGGAGTTATAAAATTATAATAATTTTTATATAATGACTCTGAATAACCCATTTAAGACTGGCTTATTTCCTAATGAATATATCCCAGTGGAATATTGCTCTTTGACAAATGTTATTTATGTGCGCAATATGTTGAGGTACATCTCCACAAAAGACAGTTTTCATTTGCAAAATTACAATTTTTACCATTTAACAACTCTCAAGTAAGAAGACACCTCTCCCTAAAATACACTTTAGCTCTGCAATTAGGTATCCTTTACAGGGAGGTTCTACTGTACTTGTATATAAACAATATAA